CCTAGACGTTTAACCACTGACTGAGAAAAGGAGGGCTGCGTGTGCTGGTTATGTATAATGTACTCTACATCTGTTTGTACTGGAGATAATCAAGTTAGCTTAAGCCCACATATATGCACCAGCTGAACCGCTTCAGATCTGCCTTGCTTTATTCAGAAAGAACCAATGTTACTTGTTATTTAGTCTTAATACATGTATCACCACTAACCTCTTTCCCAAAATTGTGCTGCAGTGTGAATAACAAAGGTGAGCACCACTTACACTAAATGCATTGATGAAGTAAATAATAGAAAAAGGAGCTTCCTCAGGCCAAGTGGGTCGATGAATGAGATTCATATTGTCAGAGCTTAGAGCAACACTTTGTAACTTCTACTAACAACAGCGCCCTCTGCAGACACACATGGTGATTAATCATTTTGGTTGTTTATTTACGTAGAGAAAAAGTAACCCTATCAATGTGTTGACCACAGCTCTGATTGTCCGTAGTGAACGGTGGATATTACCCATGACCTCCGGCTTCCTGAACCAGGAGAGCTGCAGCTGTAACAAATCACCAACCAAAGTCTGTTTAGAATTACTGACATTTTACAAGTTTCCCCAATGACAACTGGAGAAACTGTTTTTAATGACATCCAAGTCTTTCTAACTATCTACAAACGTGCTCGACCTGATTCTGGAAATCCAAGCTGTGATCAGTTATGTGCATCTCGCAAGAGATTGTTCCCGCTTATTAAAGTTAGATCGAGCAAGAATAGTCATTGGAATTGAGGAGAGGGAATGAAAGCTGCAGCATTCTCCCTTTTACAAGTCATTTTCCAATTAATATTGAAGCTGCAATGTTAAGGTAAAAAAAGTTACCAGAATATTGTCTCTCCACTAGGTGGCACACCACTAGCGTTGGGCGTGCAGGAAGTAGGCCAGATCTTGATAACATGAGGCTGTGGGTACATCCAGTGCCCTACCTGATCTTTGACGAAAATGTAACGCCACACTTGGGCAAATTATCAAACTCCCTGGAGGTTATGACAAGGCCGAGTGGTGACGCCAGCACATAAAAGGGTGGGCTCAGTTCAGAGCCGTCTGCAATTTCAGAGCAGTAAAAAAGTTGCATAGTGTTGCTTTAATGTGCACAGCAGAGGGCAAACTTACTCTACAAATAGAGACGTATTTTTGCACTCACGTAGGTGTTTACCCAGAGGTCATTTGTCATCAGACAATGTCCAAGAAAAAGAATAAGAATTCAGGTGAGGTGGAGAATAGAAACTCAAAATGATTAGAGGATTAAGGTATTAAAGAATCATCATAATTAAAATATGTGAAGGACACTTTTACTTTTATGTTGTTATTGTGTTTTACACCTGTAACTGTGATTTGAAAGCAAGCGCTCATATAAATAGTTGAAGGAATATTCAAATTGTCAGTATTAGAGATTGTAAGGCTACGCTCTCCATTAATGATCAACTCTAAAACTTAAACAGAATGATTTTAAAAGGGATTTTCTCACAACATGTTGGTCGAGTATGCAAGAAAGTTAAATTGATGGGGGAAACTGTTGTGGGGAAATGATTTAGATTCAAAGGAATTGACTACTTGCACAATGTCGCGTGGCGTACTTCCACTTTGATGGTGATCAAACCAACGGCACACGACACGACATTGTGCAAGTGGTAATTGTGGTAAAGCCATCGGTTTGAATATTGCAGCCGTCCTGTGTGTATGGTAAATAAGAAACTACATTTGGCAGCAGGTTAGCTTAGCTTGGAAAGCAGTAGAAACAATAAGCCTAGCTAACAACATTGCTAATTCACACCTTAAGTTTACTTTGTGCAAAAAATAGTGTAAAAACAGAAAATTTGTCAAAAATAAGAATTCATTTGTGAGCTTGCTGCTCACTGTAAAGCTTACTAATTCACAGAACTGAGAGTGGTGTCAATTTTCTCAAAAAGCAAATGAGCATATTTGCCAAAAATTGTCCCCACACATTCCTTCAGGTTCAGGAAAGAAAGTGGGATTAAGGCTCAGAAGTGCAAAGTAGCATATTTTGGGATTCAAGGGATGTGATGAGGTATAAAATAAGTGGTGTGTGTTAGCATGGTAATATGATGGCGTACAGGAGACGCAGAGTGAGGTCAGAGATGCCCTGGAGGATCTGGTCAAAGAGACAGTGGGAGCCATGGAGATTACTGAGGATTACTGCACATACAGGGACAGCTGTCATACACATGCCCGCACACACTCAGAGCACAATGTCCGTGAACACATGTGTAGGGAGGACGTCCACACCGAAACCCAAGCAATGCTGATGTAATAGCCTTTATTACAACAAGTGGGACTGCTAGTTGGAGAAATGCCATGTATGTGGACAGCTTTAGTTTATTGGTATCCGTGCATTCATACCCTTGTTCTTACTTCACAGAGCACACAGAATGAATTAGCTCATCTTGGTTTGAAATGGTGTATCATGACAAATCACTGTTACCATGGCTGCACATGTACATACAGTAAAAGCATACATTATGGCAGGTTGCATTTTCTTTCAATAAAGTGTGACTATTGCGTTTTTGGATATATATATTAAATTGTTGTCGTCATCTCTCATGCCTTCTCCGTTACATCCCCTGAGCCTTGACTCCTCGTGGTTTTTGTTTCCCATCGCTCTCGTCCCTCTCAGATGGAATTCAGCACCCTGTACTTTGAAACTCTTTGTAAAAGTTTAACTACGCCTGATCTCTTTCTCCCACATGTTTAACTCCCTCTTCCCCGTCAGCCCTCGCTCTCCCGGCCTTTCGCTCGCTGAGGATTACGCCGGCGTTCAGTTTCAGACCGTTCTCAGACTTCTCCACCAGCCAGCTGCTTTGAGCTTTCAGGCCACACAAAGGTTAAACACAGGTCAAAATTAGTGTGTGCATCTGTGTGTAGTGGGGGGTTGGAGATCAGTATCTTATCTCCATTGTCTTGCCTCTATGGCTGCATGTGTCTGCATTTTCAACCAAGTGCGTCAGTTATGGACAGTGATAGAAGCACTCGAAACGATTTCCAAGAAAAAAGGTACAAATGCAACAATGTAAAAATAATTACCAAAGTATAAAGTATTTCTAAATGTCCAGATCATATTTTTCATACCAGACAAATGTCTAAAATGACATTATATTTTAAATAATTCTTCAAAGTGTATGCAGTATTTTATTAATGTAATTAGTTTGGTTTTAACTATTGTATATACGCTTATGTAGTCCTATATTGATCTCAACCTAGGACCCCTCAGAATGACAACAAAATAAATCTTCATTGTCGTGAAATGATCAATGTAATAAACATATTTTTTGATGCATTCATCTCATGTGCTTTTCTCTTTTATCTCGGCTACATTTGAGAAATATTACATATACATATATATATTAATATATATGATTTTACCTCTTTTGGCCTCAAACATTGAAACCATCTGATAGTCTGTCTACAAATGAAAAAAAAACATGTTTTATAATTCATTGAGATAAGACTATTGAGTCACAAGCTTGCATGCCTTATAAAAGAAGTATACATTTATATCCACCTGTCTAGTTGAGACATTAAAGTGTTATACACATGAATAAATATAATCCAACCACATAATCTATGATACAGAATGTTATTCTGCAGAATGAGTACTTTTAGCATTGATACTTAAAGTTGATTTTGATATAATACTTTCAAACACAGGACTTTTTGTTGTATTTCTACTCTGTGTTATATTTATATAGATTTCAGGAAATGGTCTGAGTATCTGTTTCCACCATAGACAACTTATGGATATCTGAACCATGTGTATGAATCATTCAGATGATCAGTCATACACTTCAAAAATGGAACAACCATAATATTGTCTCTCCACTAGGTGGCACACCACTAGCATTGGGCATGCAGGAAGTAGGCCAAATCTTGATAACATGAGGCTGTGGGTACATCCAGTGCCCTACCTGATCTTTGTCGAAATGTAACGCCACACTTGGGCAAATTATCAAACTCCCTGGAGGTTATGACAAGGCCGAGTGGTGACGCCAGCACATAAAAGGGTGGGCTCAGTTCAGAGCCGTCTGCAATTTCAGAGCAGTAAAAAGGGAGAGAACCAAAGCAGAGAATAGAGCCACAGGTGGGCACTTAATGTTTCGCCTGTCTCTGCCAATGTAGGCATCTCTACTTACTATTGATGATGGATGATTGCTTATCGCACATCCTAGGTTTCTGTTCGCTCGTAGCCACTTTCATTTTAAACTCTTTCCACCTGAATGCTAGCCTTGCTTTCATTCTGTTTGTTGTGTGTCTCCTGTTCCTTCCTCTGCCCTGCTAGTTTTGCTCCATAAACCACATCCCTACCACCAACCCACCCAAGAAAAGAGTGCCACCCATTGAACGGTGCCAGGGCTGCCCGGGATGCAGCGGTGCCCTCAAGGAGAGAGAGAGAGAGAGAGAGAGAGAGAGAGAGAAACCAGACACTGACAGGGAGGGCGAGAGAGAGCAAGATGGGGAAGGATGAGAAGGAGGGTGGGGGGGGTGTTGTCCCCATGGTAACTGTGTTTTTGTTAGCTCTCGTGAGTCAGACAAGCAGTGACTCACAGTCAGGAGGAAACACACACACACACACACAGTCACATTCATACTCACACTCCCACTCACTCGAAGGGAAGCCAAATAAGGACAGCTACACCAACAAGCACAGTGAGGGAGAGGGCAGAGAAAAAAAACACGGAGGAATGAGAATTTGCACGAACCCAGAAAAACATATGAAAAGTTAAGACTGAAGAAAAGTAAGAGAGGGGCTAAAGGCAAGAGAGTGGGGGATAGGGGAGCGCTTCCACTCACCAAAATGAGGAGGCAGAGGGCACGAGTGCAGGCACATACCCTCTCCCGAGAGCACCCTTCACATGGGTGGGGGTAGCGGAAACACACAGACACACCCAGTTTGTGCACACCTTGGCTTAACTTACTAAACCACCCA